GATGACACGGGTGTCATCACCTTAATGGATAATAGTTTCAAGCCACACTATGTACCCACTTCCTCCCAAAAGCACTTGGTGCCCCCAATTTGAATTGTGCCAAAATCAACCTATCTGAACCTAGCCACTAGCTTGCCTTTGATGTTGATTTATGCTTGCAGCTTGTTTTTAGTGTTTTTAGTCGTAAGAGTTTTTTTTTATATCTATTACTTTTATTCTACATTATATTAGTGTTATTCAGTTCAAGAATTAAAATTTAATTTCGAAACGTCCGAAACGGTTTCATTTCTAAGGTGACCAAAACGAATCAGTAATTAATCGAAATTCTAATACTTTAAGGTGTTTCATAATGTTTCGATGGGTTTTATAATGTTTCAAGATATTTGTACAATTGTTTCGAAATGTTTCAAGGAATTTTCAGATACTTTGGTATATTTCGACAAATGTATTGAAAAAATAATTTTTAAATTTTTTATTTTTTTCATTCTATTTTTGAAGCGGGTCGAAATGATTTTGAAATATATCAAAATATTTTTATTTCTTAGATGACCGAAATAATATACTGAAACAAAATTTTAATTCATGACTCAGGCACAAACTGCCCGAGAAATCAGGTATAAGCAAGACTTTGAGACTTTGTGCTTTACCAAAGTTGTGGAAAAGTGACCTTCCGAAAAAAAAGTTGTGGAAAAGTGCGTAGTTCATGGGTTGTGATTGATTTATTTTCCTTTTTCTTTTTGCCTATTGAATTGTGGATTAAACCCAATTTCGAGCTGGAGTATACTAGTCGTTAGTTTGTGTTTGCACTTATTAACAAAAAATATCCCTACATTATACTTTTCCCTAATTTTTGAAAAAAAAATTCATCCAATGCTTAGACCCACCGTTAATCCAATTGTCACAATAGCATTAAGTCCACAAATTCGGTATATACAAATTAAATCCCAACAACGTTGACCTATTTAACTTCTATACGACATTTTTTTTTAGACCAGAAATGCACAACTTGTATTGCACATAAATAAATTGAAATAATATTTTTTTTATAAAAAATATATATTATATATATAATAAAATTAAATAATAAATTATGTGTCAAATAATTAATTCATATTTAAATTATTACTAAATTTAGTTATTGATTTATTCTATAAATTTTTAAGCAACTAATCTGTCATTTATTTAAGTACCCGTTAGACCATTTTAAATATTTGCACATCTAATTACATTATAGAATTAATAATTTTTATTTTGTTAAATAGATTGATTAGATCACTCTTACAATATTATTATTTTATTATATACCAAAAGATAAAATATAACATATATTTGACTATAGATCATATAGATATAGATATTGTATACAATTGTATTACTAATAAATGAGTTTAAAAGAATTTAAAAGTCATTATAAAAAAGTTTAAAACAAATTGAGAGTTTAATGTGTCAAAAATAAAAATATATAGAAGGATATAATTGATCTTATTATAATTATTAGGAATAAAATAAGAAATCAAAAAATTTTCACAAATATTAACATTTATAAATAGTATAGATAGATATAGGTAATTATTTAAATCCACTCAAATCGCAAGTCGATTATTTGTAATATCGCATGCCAATGTCCAAGCATTTTTCAAGTCAAAACTTCGCAACGACCTCCTACAAGGATTAGGGTTTCCCCCTTTAGGTGTAGGAGAAGTCTTGTACATGTATGAACCGTGGTGTTATTTACCCGCCTCCGGCAAGTTCAGAACTATAAGACATTAGAGCAATTCCAACAGGAGTTACCATTTGGATATTGATATCCCCATTACTGCTAAAATGACACCCTAACTGCAAAAATTGGTACTCTAACGGAAGTAGCATCAGAGGTGACAAAATGACATCTAAAATTTTGGGGTGGCATATTTGATAACTTTGAAAAGAGAATACAGAGGTTGCAAAATAGCTGTTGGTGGCTACTATTCCTCTCAACGGCTATATTCCATCCAAAATTTCTATAAATATACAGAGAAAGGAAAGGAGAAAGAGACTTGCCAGAAATCGATTTGTTTACTGCTCTCAGAAAATAGCTCCTTGAATCCTTGTCTTTGATATCGAAAACCCTAGTTTCCTTGACCCTTGCCGTTGGTGTGCTCGCATAGCCCTGTTGTCGTTGTCTAGTCTAGTAAAGGGAAAGGGGGGGGAGGGGGAAGGGGAAGAAGACGTTTGGTCTGGTAAGGGGAAGGGAAAGAAGACGATTGATTAAGGGGAAGGGGTGGGAACCGTTTTATTTAGGGAAAATGGGAGGAGTTGTAATTTATAATTACATCTGCCCCCTTTCTTGTTTTAATTTATAAGTTCTAGTTTTAATTTATAATTTATAATTACATTTGTCCTTGTGTTCTTGTTTTAATTTATAAGTTCTTGTTTTAATTTATAATTTATAATTACATCTACCTCCCTGTTCTTGTGTTAATTTATAATTTATAATTACATCCGGCCCTATTCTTGTTTTAATTTATAAGTTCTTGTTTTAATTTATAATTTATAATTTTTATTATAAAAATATATTCGTTAAATTGCAATCGTTATGAAAACTATACCCGTTAAAATATAACCGTTAAGTTTAATTATATTTTTTAATAAAAAATATTAAAATATTAAAATGGCAACCCATTTTGGCATCTACCATTAGAGAAGAAACACTGTTCAGGGGTGCTAAAACACTGTTCAAAGTTGCAAAATAGCATTTGACACCCCATTTTTTGCAACTCCCCTTGGTGTTGCTCTTACTCCTCAGCCATTAGTCTTCCACATCTCCTCCAGGTTTGTTTCTTCACTGATATTTCATCACTTTCTCGAGATTGCTCGTATTAAAGGTATTTAATCCGTTTCCATATCTGCATTGTGATCTTTCAAATATTTTTTTTTTGATTTAATCTTTAATTTTTTAATTGATTTTTTTGCACTTTTTTTTTTCAATTGATTCTAATTTTCTGTTTCTAGTGTTCCTGCCAAAGTAGGGTGGCCTTTTCAGTTTCAGGTTGGGCAGGGTTTCCGAAAGACATTTTCGCATCAATTTTGGACCTCATGGTCCATCATCTTTAGATTCAAAGGTTAGGTATCTTTAAATAGGGCCGGTAGTCGAACGAGTCCGAGTCGAGTTTGAGCCGAGTTTGAAAAACTTATTTCTTAATCGAGTTTTAAAAATTGTTCAAATTCGGTTAGTTTAGGAAACGAGCCGAGCCTGAACGAATCGAGCCCGAGTATTTACACATAAACGAGCCGAGCTTATGGAGCTTGTTTTCTAAACGAGCCAGAAAATATTTTCAAGTTCGAGTTCGTTTAGAAAACATACCGAGCCTGAACAAGTCGAATTCAAGCCAAACCCGAGTAGCTCAGTTTGATTAACAGCCCTATCTTTAAAGCATGTCGTGGTGGACTGCCTATGTTTATGGTCCCTCTGACAGATATTAACAAAGAAAAACAAAGTTTTTATAGTGTCACCGATGGAGTAATTTATGATCACCAATTTCCAATGCCTTATAATAGCCAGTATTTTGGTTCTTTCGCTATGGTCATAGCTCTCTTAAACCCTCTCAATGAGAAAACCATCTATCTCCCAGAATTCAAAGATCCCTCAAACAATTAGCAGTACTGGGTTAATGACAATAACTATAAATATTTCGTTTGTAAAGATATATTATCTTCTAATCCTTGTCGGGATTGATGCAAATAATTATGAAGTTATGGTTATCTATTGTGGTATGAGAAGGTTGGCATTCTTTAAACCAGGGGATGAAACTTGGACGTTTCTGGACTTGAAACAAGATTACGAGTTTTCAGATGTTATTTACTACGAAGGTCGACTCCATGGTGTCAATGAGAATGGTGATCTTATAAGTGTGGATGTAATCAATGGAACTAGTAAAGTTATTACTGAGTCAAGTGTCCCCTCTATATGAACAAATAACTTATCTATTACAATTACACGAGGGAGATCTATTAATGGTTGTAAGGATGTTGAAAGAAAATGAGTAAGATGGTATACATACCAAGACTTCAGACTTTAATGTTTTTAAGTTGAGACATTCAGTTGGGATGACACAACCATCATGGGTTGAAATCAAGAGTTTAGGTGATCAAGCCTTATTCTTGGGAGATAATTACTCTCTAGTATCAATAGAAATACCTGAAATATAATTGGAGGATTTGCTTGAGACTGGAAACTTTTTTGTTCAGGAGGGGAAGAGTTTTATATTTAGCAAAGTTGAGTGGAAAAGTATGTAGTCAATGTGTGGTGATTAATGTATTTTCCTTTTTTTTTTCCCGTTGGATTGTGGATTAAACCCAATTTAGAGCTCGAGTATACCAAACAATAAAGAACTATCGTCTAAAATTAGCCAAAAATCTTCAAGAATTCAAGAAAGCAACAGATGACGACTTGGCAAATGGAATAATAATAGGTAAATTTGGCAATAAGAGAATCATACAAAAACATTTATAGGGGAGAGAGGATTGTGCATGACATATAAAAGAGAAGAACATTTTTTTCAGGCCAAAAAGATCACCGATCTCACCCCCTAATGCTTGTCTTTCGCTTACAAGGTTACGATCATAAAATACCATTAATTTATTTATCAAATTTGGTGAATTGCTTTAAATGAGGTGATGTTGGCTGCTAATAGTTTACCTAATAACCAGACCCGAATTATTTAGGAATATGTTAGGGTTGTGAATACATTTTTTCATAAATTATATATTCTTTAATAATATATGTTACTACCCAACATTAAAAATTATGTAAGCCAAACATTAGTGGGCTTATTTTTTTCTTTTGGACGAAACATGGGCCAGAGAATAAACAAGAGACTAGCCTTGGGCCATTTTATCTGACCAAAAGTTCGGGCTAAGCCCCAATCTTTAATGGCAAGCCCGGCTCATGACCAGTTCTGTTCTGCCCTTCACCTCTCCTTCCTTAATGAAAACCTAAACCCTAACCATATAATAATAAAGTTATAAACCCCTCTCACCTTCTCTTCCGTCTCACTTGACACAGCCCTATACTTTCTCTCTCTCTCACACTGTGTCACACTGCATTGTTATGACTGCGAGAACCCCAACCAGAGGTAATCGCTTCTTCCAATCTACAAATTCCTTCAGTCACCTTAGCAAAAATCAAACTTTCTCGAGAATAATCTAAGTTTTCGTCAAACAAGTAGTGTTTAAGTTTACAAAACAATGTTTTTTCTTTGTTTGTTTGGCTTAATGATTTGCAGGCCGTGGTGGCGGTGGTGGATTTAGGGGAGGCAGAGGCGATGGGTGGAGAGGAGACAGAGGTGGAAGAGGAGGTTTTGGGGGAAGAGGCGGTGGTGATAGAGGAAGTGGAATGAAGCGTGGCAGAGGAAGAGATGGAGGAAGAGGTGGCGGAAGGGGTCGCGGCGGAGGTAGGGGTCGTGGCGGAGGAATGAAGGGAGGAAGTAGGGTTGTGGTTGAGCCACATAGACATGATGGAGTGTTCATTGCAAAAGGCAAAGAAGATGCTCTTTGTACCAAGAACATGGTCCCTGGCGAAGCCGTGTACAACGAGAAGAGGATCTCTATTCAGGTTATTTACATTTCAACTAGATGACATGATTTATTGTGTTTGTTTGGCCCGGCAAAATAAGTTGATAGCCATTGTTTGTATACATCTTGATTTTTGTTTGTGTTTAATAGTGGTGATAGAAAAGGTGATTTTTATTGTATGTGAGGTGCTGGGAATACATTGCTTACGGAGCTCTGGTGTGCTTTGTTGAGCTTTTGCTGTCTTTCACTCGATGGAAAATGGAAATTTGTTATGTACATTTTTGACTTGTGTTCCCCATAAGTTCTATCTTGGACCATAGATTTTGAGTTCTAAACTTGAATTTAGAAGAGCAGAAGCACGGTGGGAAATTTGCTCACAGAGTGCTAGGTTTGGTCAAACGTGTGCAAATCTTGTCAAAAAACTGAAAGTCACATAACAATAAAACAGCTGACAGAACAAAAGATGGGAAAATATTTTGGCCTGTGTTGTTTTCATCAGGTGTTCTGAAGTTCTGATACAATTAGTATTGTTGCATGCAATATGTCATTAAAGTTGTGGAATCATGGCTTTAACTTGTGGTGGTAATGCTGCCTGTGATTTTTCTTAGTTCAAATATTTCGATAATAAATGGCTTAATCTGGCTTCCCTCTTGATTTAACTATTGATCAATAGTTTTTCCTGAAAGCATCATGGTTTTCTAACTGCCAATTAACATTTCATACGCCAACCGGTTCTGCGTTGCTATATGAAGGCACGCTTTCTTGCCCAATTAGCTTAAACGGAATGACTCACTATCACATATGAACGATAATTTAACATGTTCATAGTGCAGAGAGGAAGTCAAGGCTGTTAATTTATAAAGCTACTTACACATTCACGTGTTAGCAAGTTAAATGGGTACTCTATTTTCAGGTTTTTTTCCCTAATAATCAGGATGTTACCCTGTTTTTTTGGTCTTTCATCTACATAAATTATGTTAGTGTGAGTTTGCTTTTACTTCTGTCATATTTTGTAGTGCGCTGTGGGCTCTTGTGCATCCTGTTTGATTTGGAAGAAGTCCACTTCATTGTTGCATATGATATTTTCAGCATTTTCTTGTGGTGTTTTTTTTGTTTCTGATCAATACAGTGCCTTTTAGGGGTAGTCACATTTATCATGTTTGTAATTGATACATATCTGCCGAGGCATATATTCTCTAATCTCAGAATGAAGATGGAACAAAGGTTGAGTATAGAGTATGGAATCCCTTCCGTTCCAAGTTGGCGGCTGCAATTCTTGGAGGAGTTGATGATATTTGGATTGTGAGTTTGCCTTTTGTGCTCTTTTTTGATTCCAGATTTTGTATACAACATGCTTTCAGGGATTTAGAGTTTTGTAAGTATGTATATCTGATGCTGTTTTGGTATGTTTATATGTTCTTTTTTAAAATCCAGAAACCTGGTGCTCGGGTCCTGTATCTTGGAGCTGCTTCTGGTACAACTGTCTCTCATGTGTCCGACCTTGTTGGTCCTGTAAGTCGTCCTCGTCATGAAAGACATGGGGTACCATTTGCTAGTCTTCTTCATTGAAATGTCTCTTATTAACGGTTATCTCCCTATATTTCTCTTTCATTTCTTTGGTAGACTGGAGTGGTTTATGCAGTGGAATTTTCTCACCGTAGTGGTAGGGATTTGGTAAACATGGCAAAGAAGCGAACTAATGTCATACCCATCATTGAAGATGCAAGACATCCAGCCAAGTATCGAATGCTTGTCGGTATGGTGGATGTGGTATTTTCTGATGTTGCTCAGCCCGATCAGGTTTGATTTCTGTCTGCTATTGTTGGTAATATGATTTACAAAATCCTAGTGATGTATTATATATTTATAAATGAATGTATGTGTATATTTATATAATCTGTGTGTATTTTTCTTGTTATTGTATCCGTGCTTGGTAGATTATTTTTCTTTAAGGGTATGAAAATTTGATTATTTTGTGATTAAAGTAATTTTCAGTTAGTTTTTTTATAGCTTTGTTGTTATCGTTGTGAAGATGATTTTATGCAATTTTATTCCAACCTTCTTGTCTTTGTTTGATCATTTTTTTGTTCGGAAGTTTTTGGATCATTTTTTTGTTATCTTTGCTTCCCTTTACAGTTTTTTGTAGGAAATTTAATTGTTTTTCCTTGTTTGTCATTTTTCTCTCTCTTTGATTATACTTTATAAAGGTTAAGAGGACCAATTTTGTCATCCTTTATCTTTTCTATTTTTAAGCTTGAAGAGATTTGTGTTATTTTGCATACCAGCAAGCAAATGATGAGTTACTCGGATTCCCCTTCAAGACATTATGGGTGATGCAAAACCGAGTTTCTGATGCACTTACAAAGCTGTATTTACATAGTATTTATTGCTTTTTTTAAAGGTTGACTTGTGCACCCAATTTAATACTTTTTTTTTCTCCATGTTTTTCTTGAAGAATCATATCTGTTGGATAGGGATCTACTCTAGTGCTTTTTTCCTTCGATTCCTTCAATGCTAAAATAAAACATTTATCATGAATCCAAGTGGGATATACTATATTCTAGTGGGTCTATCATCAATACATGGTGTACTCTAACATTGAAGGAAATTCAATTGAGGATAGTCTAGGGGAATCCAAATCCATATATATATTTCCCTAGTTGTTACAGATGGACATGGGACTCTGCAACATATAGAACTTCAGTTTGATTTCAACTTCTGTCATAGTTTGTAGTATTAATATACTGCCAGTGGAACCCTAGGAGCTTTGGGAGCCTGCCACATTTGTTAAAAAAGAGTAATACAGTGATTGTATTATTGAACAAGTTTGAGGATGTGTCGTCAAATTACTTTAATATCCATTTTGGACAAGCGGTGTCATTCAAAAATGTTAGTAACTGGTAATGTGTTTCCTTTGTACTATTTGGTTTCCATTTGAATGCATGATGGGCTTAGATGAGATTTTGTTGCCAACTGTGCTTTTGCTATCCTTTTGTTTCATGTTACTCTAAAAATAGCTAGTCGTGGGATGAACATGAGATCATAACCTCCTAGATTCAATTGCACCGACCTTGCACATGCTTTTAGGCCCTTCTGTATCTGTGGTTTTTATAGTTTCTTTAGGGTCTGGTTCAGTAGTCTAGACCATGTAGGTTGGAGGGGAAACTACTTTAGCTGTTGACCAAATAAAGTGCCATTTGTCTTTGTCCTGCATGTCATGAACTCAATTCTTCAGTGTTAACTCTCTTGCACAACTTTTAAGCATGTGCATTTGCGCATGTCAGGCTGCTAGATGGAGTGACTATTCTGAGAATTTTCATTCATGAATGTGGATAATGCCGTCATGCATGTCTGTTTATAATCCTCCATGAATTCTATTGTCTAACCTTGTTCGGTGTGATGTGAGTATTGTTCACATTTATTATTTCTCTTTGCAGGCGAGGATTTTAGCACTGAATGCATCATATTTTTTGAAAGCTGGAGGACATTTTGTTATATCAATTAAGGTTTGTATTATGCATTTCTGAATACTAGTACAGTTTAGCCAAGCGGAGCTAAAAATTTGAGCTGGCTTAACTCTAGTGATAATTATGGCTCAAGTATCTGTGTTAAAGAAGGCAAACATTGTTTCATTTTATTACAGATTGAAGTTATCATTATATCCTAACTGCTTCAGTTGTCTGAATTTAAGATGAATACTTTAGCTTATTTTATACCCATAATGGAGTTTCTTAATGACAAGGAACTAGGGAGGTTTATTGAATTGATGAATTCTGCTATGGTGAAATGAAGTTTTTTGTTGTATTAATGGTCTGTTTTCTTCTACTTTCTTAGGCTAACTGTATAGATTCAACCGTTCCTGCTGAGGCCGTATTTGCCCAGGAGGTGAAGAAGCTTCAGGCAGATCAGTTCAAGCCTATTGAGCAGGTCACTCTTGAACCTTTTGAGAGAGATCATGCTTGTGTGGTTGGAGCCTACCGTGTGCCAAAGAAACAAAAAACTGCTGCCTAGCAAGTCTTGCATTTCCTTGCCTTGCTTACACCTGGCCGGGGACGCATGGGGGGGGGGGGATCATGTATTCATATGAAAATGTTCAGCCAGCTTTTAATTTCTCCTTTTATTTTTTTATGAGCTTTAGTGTTTGTGGAATTTGCTTTGGAAAAACTTACTTTATTTGATGTGGGTTTCACATGAAGTTCGATGCACACTTAAATTAATGAGTAATGTTATTGGAATTTAAACGTTTGACTTAATGATTTGATTTTATTGTAACAAATTAAATTAACATTAAGTTTCAACGTTTGATGGGGTTCATAATACAATGTTTGATGAGTAATGTTATTGGTATCTAAACAATTGATGTGATTTTAGTCTGAATAGTCATTTTGATTGATGAGTTATTCAAATCAACTTGAAGATAATACAATAATAAATAGGTCGAATTAGTATTATATGTTTTATCCAATTAAATAAATAGATTAAATTAAGATTAACTGATAATTAACGTAAGCATGAAGTAACGCAACACCAAACACTTGATTGTCATCCTTAGCTCTCGTCCCATGTGATTTGTGAAGTCAGATTGGTGCAATGATCATATGTATCCATTACATGGGGCCAGCATATGTAAGTGCATGTGCCATGGGATGCGATCACAACCTCCTCTTTCTTTTCTGCAGTCTATTGTTTAACACCGAACCCTCTTAAACCAAAATCTATAATGATGAAAACTTGATGAAAAGTACACGAAGTTGGGCCTTTTAAAGTTGGCTTAAAATTTCAGTTTTTTTTTTATTATTATTATTTAAGGGAAAAAGAAATTTGATTCGTTTGAATTTAAGTTCATTGGGCAGTCCAATTTTTTAGACAAAAATAACTTTTATTACCATCAAGAAAAAGTTGAAAAATGGGGCTTATCTAAGGGTTTTCAAAAAAAAAGTAAGTTTTTTCAAAAATATTTTAAATGGTTTCGAGAGTTTTTTTACTTGATTTCAAGATACTTTTAAATTTTTATTATTTTGCACATAAAAAAATCAGCTTCATACGGTCCTTTGTATGAAGCCACGTCAGTCAATTAATTTATGCAGAAGAGAAAGCAAGATTAAACTAAAAGTTTTTAAGATTATTAATTTCTCTCTCTTGATGGGTTGACATAAAGAAACCACTGTATGATTGTTATTCAATCATTCTCCTTGGAAACCTTTCCCTGTTTATAGTTTTCAAATCATCATAAACAACCTCCCATTTTTCGTGTTTAGGTCACTAGGCTTGATAAAACATTATGCCTGTCTAATCTTAGTGAAGAGTATTTATATCACAATACAATAAATTCACCAAGTTTTTTATGTTATTGTTGAAACATTATAGTAATTAGCAGGGGAGTTTCCTATTTAATAAACATAAATTCATTAGGTTTCTTCGTCATTGTTCAAATACAAAAAGGTTTGTCAATATTTATTAAGATTTATAATAAAATTAATAATTATAATTATTAAATTTATTTTTTAATTACACGTAACTTTGCTCATGATAGAATAGCAAACAAAATCATTCATTTACGGCGCTCAGCATTTAAGAGGAGAAAACAGCAATGCTTCAGCTATCCTCTTGTGACGTTGGCGGCCACATTGCCCATTCATTACTACTTTGATATGACAATTCATTCATACTTGATCCTAGACCATTAGACCCCTGCCCCACTATTTTTTTCAGAATTGTGTTTCTATGATTTTAAAATAATAGCGGAGTTAATGACCAATGATTCTTGATAAATTCTTCAAAAATGGGTCTGCTGAAATTTTTATATAAATATAAGTTCTAGATATGTATATTAAAATCTTAGATTACTAGACTTTTTTAATCTACCTAACACGTGTACAATTTATATGTAGGAATGGTTTATCTCGATCCATTTATGAAATAATTCATTTATGTCTCCGATCAACTATGATTTAATTTTTTTGTAAGTATATGATGAGTGATTTATCATTAAGTAAAAATATATCAAAAAATAATACAAAAAATTTGAATCTGAGTATCAAGTAAATAGTTCCATTCCTCCTCTATGGGAAAGTTTACGGTACCGCCTTCAGTACTCTACTGTCACTTATTACTTTTATGATAAAATTACAATTCAAAAGGAAAATGTTATAAGTACTCAGAAAAAATCCATTATCAATCAAAGAGACCATGATCGATCAAGAAGACTATGCTGAACAGTTGTAACTTCTCTCTTATGAGTTGTAACTTGATCTTTAAAGTTGTTACTTCGTCATCAATTTTAATCTATTATAATCGATCATGACCTTTAAAGATTATAACTTATATCTCAAAAAAATTATAAATTAATCTTAAATGGTTGTAAATTTTGATATAACGTAGCTTTTTCCCCTCCTCTGGACTTAGAATCTGGGCAATTGCACCGTCTTCGTGGAACTTTTTTTTATTTGTTTGACATCTTCTTCCTATAGTTGTCTAATTAAGATTTAAATACACCAGGCGTAGCCGACTGGTTAAACTTATAAAAAAAAAAAAGGATTATTTGACATTATACCGTTGATTTCACAATTCACGGACACGTGACTTCCGTTTAAGACGGCTCAAGATATTTTGAGGCCTAAAGTAAAAATAATTAATGTGATTTTTTTTATTTTTAATATTAATAATAAATTTAGTTTTAATTTTTTGAAATGTAATAATATTAATTAAGTTTCTAATTCAAACTTTTATTACTATATTTGAACTTTTGATGGTGAGACGAAAAAATGATTGAAAATTTTTGATAATAATTTACTTTTTTAGAATTTTTTTTTTAATTTTAGTTTTACTATTAGTTTTTTTCTTCTTCCTTTTACAAAAAATTAAATTTTATGGCTTTTTAATTTTATGATCTAAATTAATAGGCCCGATATATTTAAGTTAAAATTTTTTGTTTTGACTTAAATCTAAGTTTTTTATAGGGCTTATTTCTTATAAATTATGGAATTTTCCTTTAAATAGAGCCTCAAACCTGCTTTCTTTAATAAATTATGGAATTAGGTTGGCACTGCTTTCTTTATCAGTCAAAAATAATGTTATTTGTGTTTTATTTATTGATCTAATTTTTTATAATTATTATATTCATGGTGAGGACCCAGTGTTCAGTGAAATTCCTTATCAATTTAATTTAATAGTTGTAATGAATTAGATTAATAAATTAAAATTTTAAATAATATCATTGGACCGGAAATCCGAAGATTCCATAAGCTGCGTGGATTTCGTGTGGCGGTAAAGCGTAAAACAGTGTGGTTGCGCGTTGATGGAATGAATACAAAGGCGCGTGAAGACCTATTCTCTTTCGGGGTGGGTCTAAAATCTAAATGGAATCCAATTCAGAACGACGGACAACTATCCAATCCATTCCAGATTATTTTATTTACAACTTGATAACCAAACAGGGGACCCACAGGTTTTTTGGATTGACCATTGTGCCCTCGGTTGCCACGAGTTAGGAGTGATCCCTTATTCTGTTAGGCCGTCTCTAACAGCTCCTATACATATGGCTTTTCCTAATATCAGCGGGTGGCTTAGAAGTCCAATGACCAAATTGCACTCATACTGGTTAGTTAGGTGCGCTCATCCAACCCAATTTAATTCCAACTCCATCTAAATTTGTTACTTTAAAATCTGTTACGGTCAATGAAAATATCTTACTTGACAAATTGTTTTCAGATCCAGACGATTGTTTGTAAGGAATTTAAATATCTTATTTCAAATTTTTTTAGATGAAAATAATAAACAAATAAACAATATACATAACTAATAAAAAAAAATATCAATTTATTAATTCAATCCAAGAAAAAGAAAAAAGTCGAAGCAAATAGTAAATTCGTTAATTCATAATCACTTCAACGAGATAAGCCTAATCTAGTAGGAGTATATGTTATTTTCCTATCCGACTAAACTACTTCTAAAATGTCTAGATTATGGGTCTTGTGAGGGGGTTTGAGTGTATATTTAATCTTCTCTATTATATGTTTTTTTACGATCACTATCTTCGACATCTTTGATCTCATCAACGGTTAGTGGTTGATATCCTCCAATCAAATATTATTTTTTTTCAAATATGTATATGGTTGATCATCTTCTCTCTTTTTTCAAATTCTGTCACGTGATATGTTTTTAATGCACTAAGGACGTTAGGTGTCGATATATTGAATATTCTTTAAATTTTATATATTATTTCCGAACAAAATTGAAATTCGATTTATTAAATACAGAATAATATTTTTAATTAATTGTTGAAGTTTGAATTTAAATTCTATATATCTTATTGGTTATTTTGTGCAAAGCTAATAATGATTAAAGCTTTTACTTACATGGTATTTGAATGGGAACTACTAAATAAAATATAATCTAAAGTTGATTCATTAAAAAAGCTTTAATTAAAGTTTTGGTTGCGTGTTGGAAAAACGACCCCCGTGTGAAACTCCTTTGCGCCGAATAACGTGAAGTGGTCGGTAAAACCGTAAAATTGAAGTATATGGTGTCCTTTTTGGGGAGAGAAAAAAATATATGGTCTTCAGGAGGTTAAGTTAGGCAATGGACAAGTGGCACATTAGCTCTATGGTTTACAGGTGTGAGATATTTATCAGAGAGAGAGAGAGAGAGAGAGAGAGAGAGAGAGAAGGTTTGATTCCATTTCTAGGAAAATGAAGAAGATAACAAAAGGAAGGTGGGTTTGGATGGTTATAGTTGCTAACCTATTTCTTACAAGTTTTGGCTTTCACGCAACGTCCCACCATGAAATGTCAATAGCTTTTCCTGCTTGGGAGCTCCGAGATTGTGAAATTGCATGGTGGGCGTGATATAAGTCAGACATTAGCCGCAAGATCTTCTTGATACATTACAACGGAAAATGAGATTGGAATTTGGGTTATTCAGATTACGACCACAATTAACAGCTGGCGTAATGGTCACCGAAACATATTGTTAGACCGTTAAATTACGGGTTTAAATATCACCGTCCTCTTCTTTATAATAGCTTAAAATAATAACAAAAAAATTAGAAACACAACAATTTGTTATAAAATCACACACATCAACTGCTAGAATTTAAAATAAGTGTAATCATTTATAAATCACGCGCATCTAATGAATCGGAATGTCTCAAATAAAATTACAACTTAAAATCTTGAAATAGTAATCTTTGGACCATCTTCACCCTCCTGAGTATCCGGGATTAGACCAATGTGTCTGCCATTATAATTCACCCACTTACTTCACCATTCCAAGGATGTCTTATTCCTTTGAATATGTCCACATCTTAGTTTGTATATTAGATGTTATAGAATTAAATAATTTGTTTGATTTATACAAACACAATACGTATTGAAAATGACCTGACATGAAAAGTAACACAACACGAAAAATAATACGAAACAATAAGATTGACACCCCTAACTAGAAATGATATCCTTGCATTTGTCCACATCTTAGTGTATATATATTAGATAATATTCCCATTTCTAAATGGATTTGTAGAAGTGCGCCAAATGACAAAACGTAGGTCAATTCAATAAGCTAAGGATGTAACGAATACAGTCCACCTAGGAAGAAAGTCGCCTCTACAATACAACAGAATAGGATTCCACTCAAGTCTCAATATGCCCAAATACCAAACATGGCTACTTATAAGAAAATATAAATGTTAATTAAGCCGAGTTTTTTTTTTAATTTTGACATGTTCAAACACGTTTTCAGTCATTATCACATTTTTTACTTAAATACGAGTCTAATTATCGTGCTTAGATTTTAATTTAGATTCAATTCGATTTCTAGGTCATTTATCTGGCTCAACTTGCTTATGTGACTTGTGCTCAGAGAGTTTTATTCTTTTAGTTTTAACCTAAAATAATATTTTTTTAAATAACCTTTTTTTTTTTTGCTAAGACCCGCCAAAAAATATGTGATTGGCACGAGTAAAGTTAAATCACAATAATATTTATGTCATCCGTGGATGTGACTAACTCTCAATTAGGTAATTTGCATGGTTTTCTAAGTTAAAAGAGCTCTTGGCCAATTATGAACAAAAATAAATAAAAACATAGTTTCAATAAAAAGAACCTAAGAATCATATATTTCTCCAATTCGGGTTTTACTTATATTACTAATGAATTCAAAAACATATTGGAATAAATTCTAATGACCGGTCGAAATGGTTTGTAGGTTCTGAAGAGCATTCATAGTAACTTAATCTAATAAGATGGCAATTACAGTATTGTAATAAAGGAATCCATTTCCAACCTAGCAAATCAAACAAATTGGTTGAATATGATTGAAGTATTCAATACAAACGGGTCAAATCCGAAAATGAGCTTGTTAAAAAAATGATAGTTTTATGAGAAAATGACTTTGATAATCGGTCAAGTATTATTATACGGGTCTGAAAGTTACTGGAATATGGGTCGAACTTGAAAGAATGAATATTTTAACTTAACCTCACCAATTTATTCAGTCAAATATTAATGAGAGAGAGGCAGAAGGAGATATATCTTTCACTCTCTTGACTTGATGTTTGTTGTTGACATTGGTCCCCTTTGCATCTTTCAGGTTTTTTTTTTCTTTTGTTGGGTATCTTTTCAAGTTGTCGATTATGCATAAATTTGTCACTTATTTGGCAATGTTTAATTTTATTCAAATAAAATAAAAATAAAAAGCAAAATCATAATATAACTACATTCTCTCCCTGTCCAACTCTATTGGAGATTTAGAAAATGTCATTAATCACGGGTGAAAAACTCAAGTACCATGATCAAATGGTTCCAACATTAATGGTGCTAATTTTATTTAACGACTATCTATAGTTAGAGCGATTACGCTTTATCATCATGATAAGTAATAGTATTTAACAAATGGGGTGATAAAAAAATATTCAAATATCATCAATAACAAATCAAAACAATGGGTGGATGGAATAAACGAAATTACATATTAAAAGTTTGTTAACTTATTCTCGCTTTTTTAAGTAAGTAAAAAAGGGAAAAATAACAAATTATTTTCACATAAAGGTCTTGAAAAGTAATATTCGAACTTTAACAAGCTCCCTCCAATAGGGTTGAACCCTCAACCTTATATTTTATGCGATTAAGTGTCGTTACAAGTACAATTTTAATGGATTAACATCTATCTAGCACGAGCGCACTTTCAACATTTTTTAATTTGGAGTTGGAACATGATTTAAGTTTGAATTCTATTCATACTGGACCCGTGTTGATCTCTCTCTCATAGCTCTTTTTTTTTTTTTTTTTTTTGATCCGTCTCTTAACTCCAATTGATTGGGTAAATATTGCTCCAAATGTTACAAACAATCAAGTAAAGTCCTCTAAAAATGGCATTTGTGTAAATTTGAAACAAAGGACCAAGGCCAAAATTATATTTAATTTAGAGGGTGTCAATTTGACCCATAAATACAAAAACAATCCTAAATTGATAATACATTAATTTAAAATTAACAAATTAATAAATACATAGGCTTGTTTGGAGTCGGCTTCTATAGGTGAAAAACTGTTGTTTAAAAAGTTTTGCCAAAAAATTAAAATTAAAAAAGTTTTCAAAAATCGTTTAAAGTGTTATTAAAAAGGTAAAAAAAATCGTTTGGAGTGACTTTTTTAACTTCTTTAGTTTTTTTGTGCCAAAATAAAAAAATAATGACATATATATAAATTATGCATAATAGTTTTTAAAATATGAATTTTAATTTTTTTTATATTTTTAATAATATTTTATAAATATAATAAATTAAAAAATTATGTAAGACGAGTTAAAAAATTCTAAAAAGTCAAAAGAAAATTTTATAAAATTATTTTCTTGAATCAGTCCAAATAAACCATTTTAGGTAAAAAAAATTGTGACATAAATTGATAAAAAAGTCAAGGTCCAAAAGAAGGTAACTTATATTACTCTAAAACTCTTAAAAATTCCCTATTTAAATTAATTACAAACTAATCCTATAAATAACTTGAATAACTATTTAGCATTTATAATACATTAATTAAATATTTTTATGAATATTATGACATTAATATAATATAAAAATAATAATTTATAAATAAATACGACGCGACACGAAATTAATTTATGCCGCTAATTAATTGGAAGCAGCATTCTGGCATGGACTTAGATTCTGAATTCTATTTTACTGTATGCTTTTGAGATGCCCAGCTGCCGATTGCAAATATTTTAACGGCTGGGGCTTGACCAACGTAGCTTACACTTTTTTAGTTTTCAAATTGTGTACTGAGTGAGACGTAAAGTCACGCCACCGACACGTGTCCATAAATAGTGTCAATTCTGTGCACAATTAGTTGGATGAGAATTATGTAATAGTGACTGTGCAGTCACTTTAAGGAGTTTCAAAGCATCATGGAGTTAGTGCACGTGTTATGGGACGTTGTTTTCTGCGATTGTGTGGGATTGCATACTGTCAGGTGATCAATTTGTTATAACTATTAAATTGATCATAAGTTATATTTAATAATATTAATTTAATAATTATAACAAAATAATCATTTTTTTCTCATAAAGAGAAACTCTAGATCAACGGAACCTCAATCACACGGGCCAACCACCGGTTCTTTGAATAATATCTTGCCAATGTCTACGAGGTGGAAATTCATATCCACAATTTTATTTTATTACATTTTGGTATATAAAATGATATATTTATGTTTGTCTTCCTATATATTGTAATATAGTCGATTAAATTAGAAACAAGAGAATAAAATAATATGAAAAAAAATTCTATAAAATCTTAAAATGTATAAGCATATGTAAAAATGCATCTAATTTAATCATTTTCATTACCCATTAGACATTTAGTACATGTGTCCCTTTAAAAACATTCAAATTCGAATTTTGACAATTTTTTAAAATCGAGTTATAAAAAAAATTATTTTTTATGAATGTTTTAATTTCGGTGTAGATGACTTATCTTTAATAAGATTAAAGAGGGAATAAATTAAAATATACGTAAATTGACTCAAACACTTTTAACTGTTAAAATTTAAAAAAAATAAATAAATAAAACCATACTTGCAGTTTTTAATCTTGTACAATACATACGTAAGGGACGAACTTCTCTCACCATCAGACTATTAAGCGACCTGTAAAGTAAATAGTCTTTGTTCCTTCCCTCCTATGTTGGAAATAAGGCAAAAACCATCCCTCTCTCTCCCGCTATCTGTCTGGGCTAACTCTGCCAAGATTCAAGATTCAATCCTAAACGCCCTCAAGGAATAAAATGAATTCTAACTCAATTTGTATACCCCTTCATCTTCTGAATCATGATCCGTAACAAACTCAAAAATTCTGTGTTAACTTTGGTACTATTACCATTACCACAACCACAACACGACTTTCACGTGATTGGTGAGCGCGTGAGAATCGTGACAATCTCAGCCCTAAAGGCCAAGACGAATTAGTGAACAAGGTTTTCATCTCACTTTTGACCTGAACCGTTTGATTATTATACTTGGTTGATAGTTTACCAAAATTACATGTAATTGAACGGTAGATGATTGCGTACACACGTAGTTCTGAAAACTCATCAACATTCTTCTCCCAAAATAACGCACACAAAACCATAAAACCAGACTCAGGGCCAGTTGAAAAACTCCCTCCCTCTTCTCTCTGTCTCCCTCTCGTACAAGAATCAATCCAACAGCTTAAGCAAAGCTCTCCCCCAGGCCCCCACACCTCTCTCTCCCCCCAAAAATTCTCATTCGTTCTCCAATGTGTTGGTGTGAAAAACAAAGCTTTTCGTAGTAGTTGGTAGTGAGGCCCACAAAATGTCGTCAGGGTTCTCTGGCACCGGAGGTCCCGACTTCTACGCCGCCGGTGGGTTTAACGGAAGATCTATGTTGCCCATGAAGAACCCTCCGATTCCGTACAGGTCACCTCTTGCCGGAATTCTCCCTGACCCAACTTCTCAGATCATTCACCGCCAACCCGATTTGATCGGCAAACGATCTCTCGCAGAGTTTCAACAACAGTATCAGTCTCAAAACCAACAACAACAACAGCAGGGATTATTGGGGCTTTATCTGAGGAACGTGAAGCCCAGAAATTACCAGCACACTTCTCCTATATCTCCTCTTTCTCCTGTAGATTTCTCAGCTTCCCTTTCACCAGAAGTCTCTTCAATTTCTTCTTCATCTTCTTCGACGCCGATGACCGCACGGTATATACTACCAAATCTTCAAAATCTCCGGCCACAACCCATCAGTACTTTCGGTAACGGAAACATTGGCAGTATCAATAATATGATTCCTAGTAACCAAAATTTTTCTGGTGTTTCGGTTCCATATTCGATGCAAAACCGAGTTGTGGGTCAGGAATTGTTAGGCCAAGAATCAAAGAAGAATATGATGAATCGTCTTCAGGAGCTCGAGAAACAGCTCTTAGACGACAACGACGACGAAAGCGGTGATGCTGCGTCTGCGGTGACCAACAGCGAGTGGTCCGAAACGATTCAGAACCTGATCAGTCCGAGTCAGAAACCCATTGCCCCATCTCCAACCTCATCATCTTCTTCATGCTCGTCTTCTCCGCCATTAACTTGTACCAGACCACTGATCCTCGAGGCAGCCTCGGCTATATCCGAAGGCAAGACAGACGTTGCTGTGGAGATCCTCACGCGCCTGAACCAAGTCTCCAACGTCAGAGGCACTTCCGAGCAGAAGTTGACGGCGTACATGGCGTCGGCGTTACGGTCGCGCGTGAACTCCACGGAGTATCCACCACCAGTCGCCGAGCTTTACTGCAAAGAACACATGGATTCAACCCAAATGCTCTTCAATGCATCTCCATGTTTCAAGCTTGGTTTCATGGCGGCCAATCTAGCTATACTCGAAGCGGCATCGAATCAAAATCTTAACAAGCTTCATGTTGTGGATTTTGACATTGGTCAGGGTGGCCAGTACGTGCATTTACTCCACGCGCTAGCAGCAAAAAAAGCAGACAAGCCCAGTCTGTTGAAGATCACGACGTTTGTGGAGGTTGTGACTGGAAGTGAAGATAGATTGAAGGATGTCGGCGACGGACTGAAAGCTCTGGCGAAAAAAGTTGGAGTTGGGTTAAGTTTTAATGTGTTGAATTTGAAGATATCTGATCTGAGTATTGAGACATTGGGTGTTGAAAAAGATGACCTTTTGGCCGTTAATTTTGCTTTTCGGCTGTATAAATTGCCTGATGAAAGTGTTACGACGGAAAACTTAAGGGATGAGTTGCTCCGCCGTGTGAAGAGGTTATCGCCAACGGTGGTGACGGTGGTTGAGCAAGAAATGAACGCGAATACAGCGCCGTTCGTAGCGCGCGTGAACGAGGCGTGTGGGTATTACGGGGCGTTGCTCGACTCGCTTGATGCGACTGTGTCAAGGGATACCTCGGCGCGAGTCGTGATCGAGGAGGGACTGGGTCGAAAAATAGCAAACTCGGTTGCGTGCGAAGGGAGGGACCGCGTTGAAAGATGCGAGGTGTTCGGCAAGTGGCGGGCCCGCATGGGCATGGCCGGGTTCGAATCCAAGCCCATGAGTCAACTCGTGGCCGACTCGCTCCTTTTCAAACTCAACTCGGAAACACGTGGCAATCCGGGCATTACTGTTAAAGAAGAAAGTGGAGGGATCAGCTTTGGTTGGATGGGACGAACACTCACCGTCGCTTCTGCTTGGCGTTAAAGCTCATTTTCACTCTAAAAAGCATTAGTATTAATTGTGAACTATTTATATATTAATTATCAGTAATGTTGTATTAACGTTTTCAAGATGGAAAAAGAAATGACCCATCAAGGGAACAAATAAAGGGGGTGTTTGGGGAGGGGGGCAAAGTTAAGTTCAGCTTTTTTATTTGAGTGTGAAAGTAGTGTTTGGCATTTGCTGATTCGGTTGGATTGCTCTCAACTTCAGTGTCATTGGAGGGCTCCACATGGTAGATTTTTTTTTATTGTTTTTTGGGTATGGTTGGTCTGATTGATATAAGGATGTTTTGGTGGGGGTGGTGGAGTATCTGTATTGATGCCATGCCATGGGTTTGTTATGGACCACAAATTTTTTTCCTATTTTTATTTTAATTTTAATTAGTATAAACCGGTGAAGGATTAGGGTTTCATATTCGCATGTCAAGACTTTATTTGTTTAATAGTAGCTTTAGAATTTGAATCCTTTTTCCATATGGTTTCCTTTTAAATGCTATCTCAATGATTGATGAAATGTCACGAATACCAATTTAAATTATATATAGAAAATTGTTATATAAATAGATTTTTTCAAATTCATGATAAATGATCTCTCGAATAGGATTTCAAATTGATGACACAGGCTGCACACTAGTGTTACGATTTAACATCGGTTAAAAATAAAATTAGATATGTGTATATAAATTATTAGATATTTTGTTCCCGCAAGTTGAATTTTGGAGGTAAATTTTACTCATGAGTTTACAATAATTGATATTAGAATTAACTATCATGTCGAATATGAGATTGCTCACAATGTGAGTTACAGCTCTTTGTGGTCAAGTCACATGAATGAAGATGAAGATTTACAGGCGGGATTAAGATGACCAATTGGTATTATGTATTGGCATAGTGTTATCTCACTAAATATTGATAGGTGCGCAAAGTCGTTAAAAAGAAAGGGCAATCGTTAGGTCAATGTTGTCATGGACGTCGGCTATAGAATTGTAGTGGAATTTTACGATCCCACATTAGATAAAAATAAGACTAAATATTTGTATATAAATTCTTAGTCACGCTTTTCTTTACCTACGAGTTCAGGGACAAGTTTTACCCCATGAATTCATAAGAGTAAGGCTGCATTATTGTAACTTAAACGTGAAGGACACAATTTACAAGTATAATCTTTTTACACGTGCAGTAAAATTACATATATTTGAATATTTTTACACCCTGCTGCAATGAGAAGAATCTCGACAATTACTTTAATGTTTGTTACTTGGTAACAAACAATTCACCTAACGGGAAGGATGCTTAAAGTTTTAAACACCGAGTATAGTATATGTACCTATTGATGTGCTTATTGGGCTGCACAAGGATACTTCTACTGTATTCAAGGATGAGGGCGTGTAGGTGGAATTCTAATGATTTTTTTTTTTTTTAAAAGTAGTGAAAATAATTGTTCAAGTACAGAAGATATAATATGTTTGTTGTTTGATGTAACTTGTCTCCAAAAAAATGGAGGTCCACTTAAGACTAGGGTAATATGAGCAAAAAGATCATGTTGTTGGCCTTTTTCTTTTCTCAAATAAATGCTCGTTAGATACGGACTGAGGAGTGGGATGGCGATGGTGAAAGAGTTAATGCCCTTTTCACACATAATCCAAAGTGCAAGAAATATTTATAGCAGGTTGGAAAGAGATAAATGATATCCACAAGAAAATTTATAAATGTTTTTTTTATTGAGAAAATTAATATAGGCTCTTTGTTTGATCCCATGTAAATATTATCATAGAGGTCCAATCAATTATGAGTTGAGCTCTCATATTCAAGTCGGAATTCTAATCTATCTATATAATAAAATATAATATAATTTAAATCTTTAAATATAAATAAATTAATTTTTATTTTTTACGGTTGAGATCTCTTTAAATTTTATTTTAAAATTAATCTGACGGCTAATATTAACACCTCAAATTTAATATAGGAAATAGGTCTCTAAGGGTATGTTTGAAGTGATTTTTTAAAAATATTTTTATGATTTATACCTTCTCATAAGTATTTTAAAAGAAAAAGTAGTGTTTGGAATTGTCTCAACACACCCCCACCACCATCACCACTACCATTGTCGCCACATCCCCCACCACCATCGTCGCCACGCCCCCACCACCATCACCGCCACCACCTCTGCCATAATTGTAAGATCTCATACTAGAATTAAATAAGAATAATATCATATTAATATTTCTCTCAGGATGAATCAAAAGATTGTAGAAATCTCGAATCATAGTTAAAAGATTAATCGTGAAGTTTAAGTTTTAAACGAATTGACTTTCAAATCAAACTTAGTTTCAAAGGTGTGTAAACTTGAAAAGGATGATTAGTTAAGTTTCTACATGATTTTAAGTCAAAATAATGCCTCCATTGAATTTGAAAGGTTGAGAAACCTTGGGGGGGATAATATGAGATGTATTAGAAGTTAGAAAGTATTTTGGAGTCAAAGCTCATTTTAAAAAGAATTCGGATAGGAATGAATTTGATACTACCTTAGTATTTTATCCATAACTTTTTAATATGAACTCCGATTGAGCTGAATTTTGGGTAGCAGCAACTAGATTTCAAGGGGTACAAAAGTATATTTCACACAAATTTCATGAATCGACTTCTAAATAGGTGAAAATTTATCTTGAAGTTTGGATAAAAAGTTGGTACCGTCTGAATGCCCCAGGAACCATCCTGATGCCCCTCTCTACCCTAAAAACTTTATTTTTCATCACAAAACAATGACTTAGAACTGTCTGGACGCTCAAAGACCATTCAGACGCTACCTTAAAAATAGCCCCGATCAATTTTAGAGTTTTTCCTCCGTTTTTCACCCTATAAATATCATAAAGATATCCCTTTAGCTATGTTTCATCAGTTTTCAACCCTAAGCAACCTAGAGAGCAAGAGGGAAGAAGGAGGATTCTAACGTTAGAATGGATCAAACATGCTAGGTTTACACACAAACTACAAAATCAAGGTAGGAGAATTTTCTTGAGTTCTTTCGTTGAGACTTAGGATATTATCTATGTGTGTTTTCAATCTTCTTGATAGTTATATAATAAAAATTTATGACTTCTTGATTTCTTTATCATTGAAACATAGTTTTGAACAAAATACATGTTTGGCTTCAAAGAATATTTGTTCTTGAATTTTCAAAACTTTGATTTTTCCAAAATACATATTCTATTGTGAAAGTCATACAGATTCTTGATTTTTAAATTCTTATTCTTGATTAAATCATATTTTCATCTAATATTTATTCTTATTCCAAAAAACATTGAGTTTTGACAACACCCTAAAATTTTGATATCGAAATTATGAATATTTTCTTGAGATAATTTCTTACATATTTTAATTCTTTTATTACTGTAGTTTATTGAGAACTGTGCAATTATGATGCTTGAATTGTTAATGAAAATTATGATTTGTTAAGATTGTGGTTGTTGAGAAAGTTGTGGTTTCATCTCTTGTATAGTTTGTTGTGACAAACTTGAATTGTCTTCAAAAGCTATCGTAGAGTGTTAGAGGTTAGTCTATCCTAGTGAGGGTGAGATGGTTGTCTAACACTTGTAGTGAATTATTGTTTGTAAAAGCAACCGCTATTGTTCACATAAGTTCGAGGCTGAGGGATAGTATACCTTTCATTGGAAGGATTCGTCAATACTGTGGAAGACAGTATACGTCCTTCCTAAAATTGTTTGTGATTTGACCCTATGAAGAATGATTGAGATTATGTGGTTGAGGTGGATGAACGAGGTAGAATCGTTGTGTAGATTCCTGAGAAGCAACCAACATACATGAGAATAACGATGAACCAACATACACGAAAATATTAGATGAAACTACTGAGTTAATTATTGATTACTTTAATTTCTTGCATGTTTATTCCTGTTATTGATTTACTGTATTTCGTACATTTGAAATCATTACAACTGTCATGATTTTATTCTCAAAAATTTATATATGTTATTTTCCAAAAGAGATTTGCCTTCTTTTTATTGTTTTAAAAATCTTGTTAGGGATTTTCGAGGAATTTTCTACGGGCTTTTGCTCACCCCTTACTACAACACACTTACAAATTTTGGTATAGAAGAGGATGTCAATGTAAATGAGCAGGTTGATTACGTATCATTTATTTAAATCTTCAAATATAAACAAAATAATTTTTTTTTTTTGAGGTTGAGATCTCTTTAAATTTTATTTTAAAATTAATCTGACGGTTAATATTAATACCTCAAATTTAATATGAAAAATATGTCTATAAGAGTGTGTATGAGGTGACTTTTTAAAAATGCTTCTACGTCTTATAACTTCTCAAAAGTATTTTAAAAGAAAAAGTAGTATTTGAAACCGACTTAACACAATCCCCATCGCCCCACCACCATCACCACTAACACCCCCACCCCCTACCACTACCTCTGCCACAACAACCACCGCCATCATTACCACTATTACCGTCACCATCACCACCACCGTTGCTGTTACTACCGTCACTGTCTCACTATCAACCCTACCACCACCATTGTCATTACTGTTGTCGCCACCCCACAATCACAACCACAACCACTGCCCTGCCTCTACCCTCACCGTTATCGCCACCATCGTCACCCACTACCGATTACAATCACTGTCATCACCCACCACCATCATTATCTAATTCTTATATTTATTATCACTATCATCATCATTCTATTACCATCGTTGCCCCTATCAGCACTCACCGCCACCTGTCGTCACCCACTATCGTTGCTAGCCATTGTCACCCACTCCCACCAACCACCACCACCCATCATCGCTTACCACTATCGCCACCTCCACCACACTTACCACTACTATCATTCACCACCACACATCACACTGTTGCCTGAAAGCATTCGTCGTCGCCCAGAAGTACCCGTCGTTGTCCACCACCACTATCATCACTACCCACCAGAACCTGCACCACCATCGTCACTACCCACCACCATCACCACTGCTAACTATCATCACCGTCGCCCACCACCACTAACGTTGTCACCCATTGGTGCCACTACCAACATCGTTATCCAAAATCCTCCACCACCACAATCATTGTCACCCACCACAACCATTACCGTTTTCCACCACCACCACTACTAACGCTCACCCCTACTACAACTGGTGTTTAAATTCATTTATCTTTAATTTATGTTTATGATTTGATTTTAAATATGAATACACATATTTTTATTATTGATCATTTATTTTATTAATTTATACATTCAGACACGGGCAATAACTATTTTTAATAAGTAACAAACTTTCTTAAGTGAAATGAGTTACACTTAAATAAATGATATGTAATCTATCAAAAAAGAGAATTAATGAGAAAACATATTATTAACCAATGGAATGCTATCTATGAGTTGCTCTTGAAATATTTTGTCTAAGGTATGGAGGGTCATCTACGAATAAAGCATAGGAGTAGCTCAAATGATAATAAAGACGAATTGTAAAGTCAGACATCCTGAGTTCGAATTTTAGTAATCCTTTAGGGCAAAACCTGAATATCCTAATTCCAACATAAATGGTTTGTCTTTAATTAAACTGAGAAGGAAATTAATCGAAGTACATATAAATAAGCTCAAACACACTTGATTGTTAAAAAAAAAGTTCTAGAGATTTATTGAACCATTGGGTTCTAGAAAAAACGAACTGGTTGGTCAGTGTTTGAATTGCAGCTCATCTCCCCCTCAAATGTGTTGCCATTCACTTCAATTCTAGAAGAGAAAAAAATAGATTTCCATGTGCAATTTGAGAACGTAGTTATCACGAACTCTATTAAATTGATTGAGACCCCTCCAAATTGAAAATTTGCTGAAATCGGGTTTGGGTTTAATAGAATATGTGATAAATAATTCTTATTCAATTTTTATCTACTCTTTTTGACTAATTTGGGTGACCATAATCGTTATATATTTGTGCTACTCATCAATTTAACTGTCTATATGAGTTTCTAAGAAAAAAATTTAGTAGTAATAGTTTTTAAAGTTTTAAGACTATGGTTCACACACACTTCAATCCAATTGTTTTATGGTGATAAATCTTATATATTTTTCATTGATTTTTTGAATAACTATCATTTGCACGAGGTAACAAAAAGATCAAGAAATTATCATTGGCTACTATTAAAAAAAAAAAAAAAAAAAAAAAAA